TCCTCTTGTGTTTTTTAAAGTGGGGAAAGAAAAGCTTTTTGAAAACTGTTCCTCCTACAAGAGGAATGCTTTGTAATGATGATTTGTCTCTCGAGCTTCCTCTGAACTGTATTTGAGAAAGAAATGAACCCTGAGGCAGGATGGAGATCAGAAAAGGAACTGCGAGCAGGGCTAAGCCAGGCGCTTGTGAGAAGGATAAATGCTTGCACAGACTTAAGAAGGGATTGGACCAATTCATGAAGCAGAAGTCCATTGTAGAATCATACAATCGAATAGAATGGAAAAGACCTTTAAGATCATCATGTCCAACCATCATTAACCCAGGAATGCCAAGACCACCACTAAACCATGTCACTGAGGGCCTCACCTACACGGTTTTTGAACACTTCCAGGGATGGCAATTTCATCACTTTCCTGGAAGCCAAAGGCTATTCAGAACAAAGGTGCTAATTCAGAGTTAAATAAAAGAGGGTCCGCAATGGGACACTGGCCCTGGCCCCGCTGTGGATGCTGTAGATATTATCATGGGTCAGGGCCAGGCTCAGCTGCAGCACCCCTGGAGCCAGTGGCTGGCAAGGCAGCAGGGATGCTGGGATAATGGAAACCCCTCATCTGTGCTTTGGCTTCTGAGGCTTCTCAGGGTGGCATGGCTGAGTAAAATAAAGAAAGAGCCTCCCAGGGGTCAAAGTGATAAGCCCATCAGCTACTACAGAAGAGTATAGCGGATGACAGCAGTCTGCAGTATCTTTTGGGAGCTGAATAGGACCCCATTCAACATGGCAAGAGGGACTGTTTGCTGTGTCAGGACATGAATGATAGAGGCAAAGCTCTGTACAGTGAATGCTGAGCTCATCCTCTGCCCCTGGGCTTTCTTCAGTATCCTCTTCTGGTGCTTCTGCTGGCTGCATCTAATTCCAATATGGCTTAGTAAAGTGAGCATGGGACAGCAGCGTGAGGTCTAGCAATCTAGCCCCGGTATGCCCCAGGCGTAATATTCACCTCTCCACACCTCAGTTTCCCTTAGTAAATTGGATAATAATGAGATCTATTAACACTGTCATGTTACATCACACGTGTGGCAAGTGATTCATTACATGCAAAGCTCCAAGCACGTACGGCAACACACAGGGGTCAGGCAGCACCAGGCTCATCCCAGCGTGATGCGTGTCCATGAATGAGGTGGCTTTCCACCTATCCCTCACCTTCTTCTCCATCCCATCTCCCCCAGCTTTTCGCCTCCCATCCTAGGGAAGGAAACAGCTGGACCCTGGGAGATGTGGCTTCTTTCCAGGTGGGACCCAGAGGGCTTTTGGTGCTGGGGATCATGCCAGGAGCTTCTCCACCACACTTTCTTGCTGCCACCACCTGCCACCCATCTCCCATGTGCCTGCATGCATGTTCCTTACACCCTCATGGCCAAATCCCATGGGAAGCAACACATCCAGCTATGGGGAGATGCGGGTTGTGTTCCTCCAGCTCAAGGATGAGGGTATGACTTGCCCTGTAGCAAAGGATTAGGGGATGCTGGTATTGGTAGCTCAGAAAAGAGGGGATTAAAGGATACCTCGATCAGAGGGCTATAAATACCTAGGTTGGAAATAAAGCAGAGATAATGGGCTGCCGAGTGCAAGAACAAAGCCACAGCAAATCCAATGGCAAATCAATAAACACTCCATGGAGAGCTCAGTTTTAACATGGGGCTTTGTTTGCAGCAGTCACCAAAAGAGGGGGTGGGTTTACCACCCGGGCTATTTAAATCTCAGGTGTCAATGCTTCTTTGAAAGAAAAACCGCCTTTGAGGCAAAAGCTATTTTTGGGATGCCCGGGTTGTGCACCAGAGGTCAGAAGGGATGATCACCCTGACCCTTTTGTTCTCGTAATCTGGGAGCTGCAAGTTATATCTCTTAATCTCTCTTTTAAAATCCCAGGCCAGTGAAACTCAGGTTAAGGATGAGTAGAGCTGTGCTTACACAGCTCGGCACCACTATCTCTAACCCTTACTAACTCCTCAGTAGCTCTCAGTGTGACAGCCACAGAAGCATGATCATTAACTTCCGTCCTTGCCCACGGCAGGGGGCTGGAACTGAATGATCTTTAAGGTCCTTTCCAACCCAAACCATTCTATGATTTGATGACTCTATGACTTTGTGTGTCATGCTAGGGCAGGACAATGTTGTTTTCTGAGAGATGCAGCAGCAAAAGGCCCTTTTCCCTGAAAAATCAATTTATTTGTTTGTCACTAAGTACAAGAAAACAAAAATAAATTTGAAGGTCACAGCCTGTGATTTCCATTGAGCTATGGAGAACAGAAAAAAGTCATATAGAATCATAGAACCATAGAACAGTTTGCGTTGGAAAGGACCTTAAAGATCATCCATCATCCTTAAAGATCATCACCTCACACTAAACCATATCATCCAAGGCTCTGTCCAACCTGGCCTTGAACACTGCCACGGATGGAGCATTCACAACTTCCCTGGGCAACCCATTCCAGTGCCTCACCACCCTCACAGTAAAGAGCTTCTTCCTTATATCCAATCCAAACTTCGCCTGTTTAAGTTAATTTACTCCTTCTTCCATTGCTAGAAGAGTCTTTCAGCTGAACTAGTATTTCAAGGTGTCTATTACAAGAAAATATTTTGTTCAAACAAATGCTCTTGAAGAACCACTACAACAGTCATCAGCAGCAGCACTGCCAGAGCAGCCTGTGAAATGGAGCAATCTCCCTGCCTTGCTCAGAATATGTTTTTTTATATTTATTTAAACACACACAGAGCAAGACTTATCTTGACAGGATCAGGGCAGCACACCACAGACTATAACGTCCAGGATTACTTATTTCACTCTGCCAAAGAAATGAGGCTAAAACTCCACAAAGCAGCACTGAGTGTGAGCCCGAGTGGTGTCAGGCTTGCACACCAGGCATCAGCAGCTCCATTCAGTTCATATTCAGTCCTGAGCCTGTGTAACAGCCTTTAAGCATCACCCCTGACTCCTAGCAAGTGTGTTTCTTTGTGTTATTAAAAAGCGGGAGGCTTTGGTTTGCGGAGATGGGGAGGTTTGCTCATGCAGAAACGTTTCTGTAACAAAGAATTTTGAGGGGTTTGTTGTATCTGTAAAGGATCCATCAGTCCCTCATTCAATTTTTCCAAACAATGTAAGGCTCCCAAGGTTAAACACGTGTGTAGCTGTGGCTGCTGCCCCTGGATCCCCACAGGTGGGGATTGCTGCCCCGCCATCTATCCTCAGTATATTGCCCCAGTGTTCCACCCTACCAGAAGGCCAGGACTGAGATCCACGGGTGTGCACAGATGTTTGGAAAGCCAACAGAGGAAGGGAGAATGCTCACTGCATGCCTGCCCCAGGGTGTGCTGCAGCCCTGCAGCCCCGCTGGTACCCAGCTCCCTGCATGGCCAAGCCACGTTCAGGGAACTGGGAGGCTGTGGTCTGGATTTTGGCTGCTGGGGCTGGGCTCACTGCTGGCAGGAATCCCTGCGAACCCACCACAGACGTGATATGTGCATATATACATGCATGTATTATATATAAACACATGCATATTTATGGATAAGTGTATGCATGTGCACACATATATATACGAATATATGCACATGCATATATACATACATATACATATATATACACACATACACACACATAGATGTATACATATGTGCGCGTAGAGGTGAGCCAATGCGAACCTCATGAAGTTCAACAAGGTTCATAAAGGTCCTGCACCTGCGTCCGGGTAATCCCAAGCACAAATACAGGCTGGGAGGAAACTGAGTGGACAGCAGCCCTGAGGAGGACCTCTGCGTGTTGGTTGATGAGAAGCTCAACATGACCTGTCAGTGTATGCTTGCAGCCCAGAAACCAATCGTGACCTGGGCTGCATCCCCAGCAGCATGAGCAGCAGGTCAAGGGAGAGGATTCTCCCTCTCTACTCCACTCTCATGAGATCCTCCCTTTGCAATCCTGGGGTGCCCAACACAAGAGGGACATGGACATGCTTGAGCAAGCCCAGAGAAGGCCATACAGATGCTCTGAGGGCTGGAGCAGCTCTGCTCTGGAGACAGGATGAGAGAGCTGGGGTTGTTCAGCCTGGAGATGAGAAGGGTCTGGAGAGACCTTAGAGCAGCTTCCAGTGCCTAAATGGACTACAAGAAATCTGGAGAGAGACTTTGTACACGGCCTTACATGTGACAGGACAAAGGGGAACGGTTTTAAACTTAAAGAGGGGAGACTGAGATTAGACATTAGGAGTAAATTCTTCCCTGTGAGGGTGCTGAGGCCCTGGCACAGAGTGCCCAGAGAAGCTGTGGCTGCCCCATCCCTGGCGGCGTTCAAGGCCAGGCTGGATGGGGCTTGGAGCAGCCTGCTCTAGTGGAAGGTGTCACTGTCCATGGCAGGGGGTTGGAACTGGATGAGTTTTAAGGTCCCTTCCAACCCAAACCATTCTATGATTCTATGTTTCTATGTATACACACGTATTATACATACATAGACAGACATAGACACACATATACAGACATGTACACATATATACATATTCACATATACATATTTACACGTGTATATACATACCCAAGTACCCACCCCTACACACACCGAAGCATAGCGAAGACCCTCGCGGCCGGGGAACTACAACTCCCGTCATGCCGCGGGGCTGGAGGGGGGCGTGGCGCCGCGCCGTGCGTGGCCCCGCCCCCTTCGGTGGGGTGCGCGAGCGCGCAGCGGCTGCCGGCCCAGAGGGCGGGTGGCGCGGTGAGGCGAGGCGGCGGTAGCAGCAGCGGTGGGAGGGGAGGAGGTGCGGAGCCGGCGGTGATCGGGTGTTCTCTTCAGACGCTTCCCTGCAGCTGCAGCCGCTGCTTCCCCGTCTGTCGCTCCCCACACCGGCCCGCCGGAGCCCGCAGGGGCTGCGGGGAGCGCTGCCGAGGTTCTTTGCCTTTCCTCTCGCCCGACCGGAGCTATCGTCGTTCACGCGGCCGTGAGGAGACGGTGGACGGAGGCTGAGGCTGCCCTTTTCCTTTCCCCCTTGCTCTGGGCCTCCCCGGGGGATTTGCTGCTGCTGGCGTGGGGTGCCTCTTTCTCCAGCTTCCTTCCTACCGAGGGTGAGTATCGCGCCTGTCGCGACAGAGCCTGTATCGTGAGGGCTGGTTGGGGGCCGCTTCCTCGGGTTGCTTCCCCCCCTTCACCCTCTTTCTCTGCCGCTTTGTGCTGCGCCTCGGCGGGGCTGCCTTTTTGTTACGGTCTTTACCTTAATTCTCTATTTTTTTTTTATCCGGGGTTTGGGGAGTTTGTTCTCTTTTTCTTTTATTCTTTATTTCCCCCCCTTTTTCCTTGGTCCTTTTTCCCGTCCCACCCACCCGGAGTTGGCCGAGCCCCGCTCCGGGGCTGGATGTGCTGGGGAAGCTCTTTGTCATGGAGCGGCTGCCGAGCCGCCTGCCCTCGGGAAGAACACCACTTTGAAAGGAAAACAGACCAAGAACTCGCTCTGTGTTCGCGCTCCGCGGCTTTGCCGGGATCGGGGGTGGGTTTTGGGGGCGGTGGGGGCGATATATTTGTTTTCGGTGGGGAATGAGTCCCCCCCGCCCCAGTCCCGGCTCCATTTATCGCAGCCCCCTGTGCCGGAGCGCTCAATGGGAGCTGCACGCAGGCGGGTGAAAACAAAACAAAGGGGGGTTTTGTTTTGCTGTTGTTACCCTACAAAATCGTGGTGGGAGAGCTTCATTCTTTATTTTTTATCCCCTAGTTCGCCCGAATTTGATGTTGTTTCAGTCCGGAGGAATCCAGATAGCTGGTAGGTAAGTTGTGTCCTTTTTAATTTTAAGCTTCTGGAGGGATTTGGAATGTTTCTTTCAGATCTTCAGGCTCGGCTCTTTTGTGAGCACCCTGGCATCCAGCGCAACTTTGGTCGGGTTTTTCTTTTCACTCTTTCTGCCTTTTTTTTTTCCAAAAAAAATAGTTAAATAACGCAGTTTCAGGAGGAGCTGATAGAAGGGGAACATTTCTGCCTCTAACAGCCGTGGAAAAAAGGGTTTTTAAAAGGCTGGGGAGAGGAGGAGTGGTTGTGTTTTCAGCTGAATATTTCTTGCCTCTTAAAGAGGATATTTAAAGCAATCGCTATGTTTTTATACTGAAAGCTGCGCTGGTTTTCCTTTCCCCTTTGTTTTTGTTTAAACTACCCCCTCAAAACCTGCAGCTACTTCATCTCTGCAGAATGCAGCTTCTAGAATACATGCAAGCAAAAAGCAGCCTAGCTGTACTGCACTCCTGTTCCTGGCCTTTTAAAGGCCACCCATTCGTGTTTGCTGGGACTCCCCTGCCTTGAAAACAGCACTCGGCAAGTAAAATTACAAAGCATTTCAGCTAGAGCGTTAGGAGAACGATGGGTTTATATTTTCCATTTTGAACACGCGTTGGGGGGAGTCGGGGGGAGAAAAAAGGCTGTTTCCGGTTTCTGTTCAGCAGCTTTTCGTGGCTTTTTTTTTTGTTACAAAGAAGCGGCCAGATGACCTGTTGATGATACATCTCCTGTTGCTTTTTGTGCCAGTTAGGTTAGTTGGAGATGAAAGCTTCAGCTTGAATAGGCTACCCAGATGTGTTGTGCGGTCCGTGTGGCTTTGTAATGTTTTAGGCCGACAGTTTTGAAGTGAGTAATGTAGTTCAGGCGTCTGCACGGGACACTTGCGCCTCTCCTCTCCCTGGCCTCCTTCCCCACAAGAAAACCCCCAGTATGTAGAAAATGGAGCACTCCTAGTTGGAAAAATAGACCCGTTTAGTGCTGTGTGAGATTAAGTGTCCTAACTCTTTTGAAGACGTATGAATGGCCTGGCAGGAAGCTTTAGGAATGCGTTTTGCTTGTATATAGGCAGCTACCTTAAGCTTAAACGTCTCCTATTTCAAATGAATTAAACTTGTAGGAGCACCTATGTTACGCTGAGTGTAGTCTTGTGAAGTGTGCATAATGTTTCTGTTCTTACTAAACACAGTATTTCTCAACACCTCAGGTCGCCATGCTAGTGTTCACCTTGGAAATTAAGGTTTTAAGTAACTACTAGTATTTCAGTTAAAGCAGAATTTACATATTAGTATAAAGTCTGCCTGCTCTGTTTTGTACTTTGGTGTCAATGCTGGTTTCTATTAAGAAAGTAGGCATGGAAAACAGGATCCTTTCACTTCAGGATTTGTGGTTAGCGATTGTGTTTGTAGATGCAAAATAGAGCATCATCTGCTTGGAGCCAGTAGTATTTAAGACACTTATTCATTTGGAAGGAACTAATTGGAAGTATATCTTGGTATAAAATGTCTTCTCAGACAGGAACTCTGGAATACAGGAAAGCAGAAAACCCAAAGCTGATTGTAGATGCTAATCTATACCCTGAGCTAAAAAAGGAAGAATGAGGGTGTTTCATGAGAAATCAGTCACATTTAAGTGCGTACTTGTAAGCAAAATTACACAGTTGATTAGGAATTCCTGCAGGATGCCAGTAATTGGAGGTACTTGTTGCTAGCTGGTCACTGTGCGGCTGGCTGGTTCTACTGTAAAAGTTTTGACTGTACATCAAGAGGAAAAAGCCTAGCTCTTTTGCTTCCCAGACGTTCATTCCTTAATCTCCAGGTTCAAAAGCATGCTGACAAACTGTCAAAGGAAGTGACAGCAAAGAGATGGTGTAGGAAGTAGGTCGAGCACAGCTAAATGCTGCTGAGTTTCAGTGGAAAAAGTAAGCGTGTTTCCATCTGATCTGCATTGTTTCCTTTCAATCTAGAGGTTAACAGGATGCACCAGTATATCTCATACTCCTACTATAGTCCCTCAATTCTCATGAAATTAATACTGCATCCCTAACTGGGCCTAGTTAGCCTGCCTGGATGGGAAGATTCATGGGGAAGAAGGTAAAATAGCAGCTTAGGTCTGATCCCATGAAGTGCAAATCATGTCAGCTGGGCAAAGCTGAAGTGGCTCTATGCCTCTCTGGAGGCCCATAGGCAGCCTGGGATGGATCTCCCTCTCCCTATGCTGCTGTAGGCTCTCCATTGTGTAGCTGAGGCATCGTGGTGTGTTATGTTTTGTAATGGATATGGCAATTAATACTCACAAGTGATCGTGTTTCTTGTTTAAAATGTTTGAATCAATAGATTCAAAATCCAGGTAAGACAAAAGCTCTTTGGCATGCTAGAAATCATCCTGCAACTTAAAGAAAGGCAAGCTTGTATGCTGTTGCAGCATTTTCCTAAGAGCAGTAAATCTATTGACAATAACTTGATTTGCAGAAAAATTACAGCCTTGAACTATGAATATGTTCTTTTCCAAGTATTCTGTATTTCTATTGATTGAAAAGGAGATCTTGTTTCAAGTAGGAAGAGGTGCTTTGCACAAGTCAGTTTGCACAGCTTATGGGATACCTAGGTGAGCCCTGTGTTGTAGACTTCTATTGCTGACCTGTGTCATGTGATTTGGAGCACCAAATGTTGCTAGCTGTTCAAAATTACCTTTCTGGAATAACCCTGTAGTCATGAATGGATGTGAAACAGTTGACTGCAAAGCTCTGCAGGGAAAGTCTGTTGTCCTCTGCTGGCACTTTGTACTGAAGGTAGGTGGTTATCAATACCAGTCTTGCTCCACCAATGTCTCCCGGTTGGCATACTAGGTGTAAATGTTGAGAGGTGGTGTTTTGGGATGTGGGCTCAAGTGTGAACTGTTCTGCAGCTTGTTTGATTCAGAGTGAACTCAGTGCCTGGGTGGAAGTGTTTGGTTAAGGATTGACAGTATCCTTCAGTCCCTGCCATGCAGGAGCACGGTTCAGTTCATGAACAGGTAATAAAAGTTAATCTGCTAACCTTGTCTCTTAATTCATGCTGATGAATTCAATGATATTGACTTGACTGCTACCCATGGTACTTACTGCTATAAATGCTGAATTTTGTACTTGAATCTCATTTACTCGAGAGCACAGTGGACTGAACCTGGCATTGCAGTTCTGGCTGCGGTTTCAGGATTGGGAGTGTCCTATAATTTTACTCTTCTAATTGAAGGTATATGGTAGTTGTCAGAGTAGGAGCAGTCAAAACCTCTTACTCTGGTCCCGTAATTATATTCCTGTTGAGAAGAGGATTCATTCAGTTGACACATTGCAGTACTTTCCTTGTTCACCAGTAGAGTATGTTATAGAAGACTTTGGATATGTATCATGCTGGCTCAAAACACTTTTGATCCTTCTTGATGTTGTCTGTGCAGCTATATCAACCAGATGTTTTTCTGTGCTGACCCTGTTTGTAGCAGATCTATTGCATAAATGTGTTTTTAGAAGGGAGAAGAGTGTTCCTTTTGGGAAAAGCTATTTTTTTTTTTAATAGTACAGAGATACTTGGGCCAGAGGGGTGCTGGTCTGGCTATATTAGGGTGGGCATGTATGTGTTCAGGGGAGCAATTGCACAATCTAATTGCAAAAGTTAATCAAAATCCCAGATGTAGACAAGCTTTTTGCTGATAAAGTGCTTTTGTCAGCCTGTTAGTTTACATATTAAGTGTTCAGGGAGGTAAGTGTGGTGGTTTTGGCAGAAAAGCTTTGGTCACTAAACACTGCGTTTCCATTTGTGGGTCTGTAACATTTGTTGTAGTGGCTGAAACTCCGTGTTGTAGACAGCAGGGAAATGAACAGCAAGGAAAGTAAGAAAAAGCTGAAGTTAGAAAGACTAGAAGTGATACAGAAAATATTTTTGTTATTAGGATAGATCATAATATGAATAGCTACTAGAGAATGCTGCTCTGTGGATTGATTGAGGTTTTGTGTGGGATGTATCAAAAATATTTTGTAGATGCTTGCAAGATATGGGATTGAAGCAAGTTGCTTGGTTGAGATTCTTTGGGGAATAGTTTATTTGAGCTAGGACTTGAAGATGGGAAAGAAAACCGAACAAACCCAACCAAAACCACAAAAGAGAAAAAAAACCACACTATAAAGAAAACACAAAAACCTGCCTAGACAAAATTGTCCTTAAGTAGACCACCATCAATGAGTTTTTTCTTCCATTGCCAACTAATTCATCTGCCTGGATGTACTTAGTTGCTTGTATGCAGTGTTTCTGCAGCTATATAACCATTTGAACTTCATTACAAATGTTTAAAAATACTTTTTCCTGAGCTGGAATACCTCTTTTCCTTAATTCATGTGCAAAGTCTGGGGGGGTAGACATCAAATTCAAAGGGACTGATTTATTTTCCTTAAGATGACTGTTAAGATCTGCCATTAGCATCAGTGGAACTCAAGGCCTCCCAAGAGTTTCTGGAGGCATAGCAAGAGCAAACTTAGTGATCTGATTTGAGCATCTTGCCCTGTCCTGCTTGCCTCTTCAGTGCTTCTGAAGCACTATTTCTATTTTTAATTGTCTGATGGCTCATCTGGAGTAGTTTGCAACTGGAAAGTAGCAGCTGTTGAGTTAGTTTCCCCCTTCTTTCTGCCAGCTTGTCCTCTAGGATGGTAACCCCTAGACCTGGATCATAGAATGACAGAATGGTTTGGGTTAGAAGAGACCTTAAAGGTCATACAGTTCTAAACCCCTGCCACAGGCAGGGACACCTTCTGCTAGAGCAGGTTGCTCCAAGTCCCATCCAACCTGGCCTTGAACACCTCCAAGGATGGATTATCCACAGTTTCTTTGGGCAACCCTTTCCAATGTCTCACCAGCCTTAAAATGAAGAATTTCTTTGATTCACAATCATTCATATTGTTGATTCGTGTTGTCTGAATTGTTTGTTGGGTCAGGGCAACCACACTGGTATCTCCATGTTAGATCTAGCTTG